AAAACCCCACGTCTACCAATAAGCCAGGCGCGGTGGCATGCACCTGTGATCGCAGCTGTGCAGCAACCTGCAAGTAGGAGTATGGTGGTCCAAGGCCAGCCCCCGCCCCAGACAAAAACATAAGATCCTATTTGAAAAAGAGCTAAAGCAAAAGGCTTGGCTCAAGTGTTAAGAGTACCTGCCTAGCAAGCATGAGGCCCTGACTTCAGACCCCAGCACCACAAAAAAAAAAAAAAAAAATTCTTTTTAAAGGGAGAAAAGGAAATTTTACTAAGAAATCATACATAAATCTAGAACTTCACAGCCAATTATGTTTTAAAATAGTTCCTCTGGTTTAATAATAAAAACTAATTCTCTAGGCATGGTGTCACAAAGCTATAATCCCAGTACTCAGGAGGCCAACGCAGGAAGATTTTGAGTTCAAGACCATCATGGACTACCTAGTGAGACCAGTTTCAAACACACACACACACACACACACACACACACACACACACACACACACACACACACAAAGTTTGTGTCAAAGAAAATTGTGCTTATCAGCTCATTCCAAGTCCATTTCTAACGTGGAGGGCTGTACCAAAATGCAGCTTTAGCTTACAACAGTTCAACTGAGTTGTCTACAAGAGTTAGGAAAAACACAGACAAATATCATCAGAGAACTCAGATCCAAAAGGGTTCTGCATTTGGATCACATAAATACATGTCATTTTGTCACCTAACTTAATTTGCAAACTCAACTTGGCATAAATATTCAAAACATGCTACTTAGAAACGACTGTGGCCTGGGGTTAAGAAAGATTATATAAGAACTACCAAAATAAACATCAAATTTCATGTTATTTGGGGAAAAGAGAAAGCCATCTGTGCGATTCACTGTGGATAAACTGTTGTCTGCTGAGACTAGAGATTAGTTGAACAACTGCCATTATGTTAACAATTAGACCAATAATTGATGAAAGCAGAAAATATCCTAGATATGACTCCAGGGACAGCAGAAATGTAGAACTCTCCCTAAAGCTGGCAAAGCATGTTATTAAGAAATAGCATGAAGAGAACCTTTAATTTTATTAGCAGAAAGAAAATGTAAGTTCAAAGCACATGTGCCCAGAATAGGAAAGAATGTGTGAGCTTTAAGGAAGCTCTCTACATAATCTGGAAACAAGTTCTGAATTGAAACCTAAATGAATTTTAGAAGGGAAATTTCCACCCCAGCAGAAAATGCATAATAATGGCAGTAGTTTCTATCAGTGCAGCTAGCGGGCATAGAGGTTTTTGGTAAACTCTGATGCGGCCAGTGCTTCCTATCTGCTAGACACTAGTTCTAAGCACCACCCTGTGAGGCAGGCAAACCACTGCCTCCATTTTACAGAGAGGAAGAAACCAGCTCAGGGAGATTAGCTAACTTTTTCATTGTAACCCAGCTGGTAGGTGACAAAGTCACCTCAGGGTATCCTGTTCCAAGTCCAGAGTTCTTGCTCATATTGTATTATATGCCTGTTTTCCTGAGAACCATGAAGCTTAAAGGAATTGTTCTAATTGTAGACTAGACTGGAGAGTAAATAGGAAGAACTAGTAAGAAATGAGGAAAAAGCTTTCAACATTTATTAAAAGCCCACCACGTACCAGGCATTTTACATTTCAACACAGCAGGCAATTGACTACAACAAAGGAAGGAGTTATGTGGACCCTGAAATCACCATTAGCTTTTATTTTTAAGGAAATTTATTAAATTATTTCTTTGAGTGTAGGAGGCAAAGATACATCACAATAATCAAATGCAAAGATATATTATTTCACCTGATCTTCACAAGAATTTAGTTCTTTCAGAAAAGCATTTAATAAGCATTTATGTTCCAGGACATACAAAAGATGACTTTTATTAAAAGTTAAAAATGAGGAAAATAGTCTTTGCTCTCAAAAATCTCATAGTCCACAATAATCCTTTGCCATTATCCCCATTTCACAATGCTAAGACACTGCTCAGAGGGGTTAACTCATTTGGTTAGGGTCCAAACTGGTAAAGAGCAGAGACAGGATTTGAACACAGAGCCACTCAATCCTAAAACCTATATACTTCCACTCTGTATACAGTATAGAAACTGGGAGAAAAAAAAGAAAAGTTAGTTAAAATAACAAATAAAAGGTACCTTGATTGTCTTTAACATTTTAGAACTGTGTTGTGTTAGATGAGAACTTGAAAAGGGAACGTGTGAATTCTAGACTAAATCTTGGGTTATAAGACCTCACATAGATTGAGCACAGCACCAGAACAGTGCAAGAGTCACACTTGCAGTGAACTAGTTCAACATTTAAAAACATGTATTACAGGGGTCTTCAGATGGCTGTGGCCCTCCTGGAAATACGGGAGCAGATGTTATTTCCAAAAGTTCCAATTCTTTGGAGTTGAAATTTTTCTCCCTTAGATCTTACAGGAGGTGCTCGAAGAAAGATTTACTCAGTTAGATCACAATTGGAACTGGGCCAGAAAGTCCTGTGAGGACTGCACTCAGTACCTGCTCTCTGACAACCCACTAAGTATATTCTATAGTAGAAAATATGTATTATACAACTTTCTGCTGCTCATCTAAAAGGAACAAGATATTAAAGATGCCTCACTTTACAAAGAGAGGATACTGTTCACACCAAGATGTAACAAACTCATCCAGCTGGTATCCTATTTTATTTAACTTTGGAACCAAAAGTATGCATTTCTGAGTTGGCTGCTATTGAAGGATATAGCATAAATTCACTTGGCCATCTCTAAACCATTAGCCTCAATTTGTTAAATTGTATTTTGCCAAAACTGAATTAACCAGGGATAAATGATTTTTAAAGAAATATTAAGGGAATAGTTAAGGTCTTGAGAAATAAATTTTAAATGATGTTTTTAATATGTTTATAACCAAAATTTCATCACCATTGTATTCTAAAACATTTATTGAGAAGTCAAAATGTGCCCTGTCCAAATGTATTAATTTGGAAACAAGGATTATCAAATATAAAATGTGTATCAAAAATACAAAAATACATAAAGTATATATATTTAGATGTCCATAGGTAACAATAATGATGTTGATATATGAAAATATTTGGCTAATATAAATAAAAATGGATTCACAGAATTAGCTGAAAAATATTTAAAGTAGAATTAAAGCTAGTTCTCTTCCAAACTTTAGCTAACTACATTTTCTGAACTATACTCATTGAAAAAATCTACTGACATATTTGAAAACGTAAAAACAAGGTTGTAAGAAGAATGTCTCAGGATAATCTGATTAAAACTTTTCAAAATTATACAAATTTATATGCAAAACTTTTTTGAGCTCTAAAACGTGCTTGCTATTTCGTCTACATCATTGTGCAACAGACCTCTAGAATTTTTTTTCTTGTGGAGAACTGGAGGGGCACTGTCTTCTCGCTCTCCCTTGTTATAGCGAGCTTTCTCTAGCTCCTGGTTATTACTGAACCCTAACTGGGGCTAACTGGGGGCGAATGGAGATTCAGAAAAGACATGGGATAGACAGACAGACAGAAAGTGATGTCAGGTGTACTGGGCACTTGGGTGGAGACACCCAACCCTCTTTGCTTCTTTTCTCTATCTTTATTCTTTAAGGCCTTACTCCTTGCGTTTCTTTAAAACCTTGCTTCTAAAGTCTTCTTTAAAACCTTGCTTAAAACCTCTTTCCTTAGGCTCGCTCTGTCCCATGTTTTCTCTTAGCTGTTCTTTAGCATAATCTCTCAAAGACTTTGCCCCTAGACTTGCACTGTCTCGTTAGCTTTCTTAAAGCCTCAGTGCTCAGACTTGCAAACAACAGCCGCGCCTAAAAACTGCATATGCATACTCTTAACGTCCTGGTCCTCTATCGCATACACTGTCCCATGTTCTCTTTGGCTTTTCTTTAGCTTAGCTTTTCTAAGGCCTATGTATAAAGTTCTTTCTTTACCTTAGCTTTCTAAAGCCTATATTAAAGTTTTCTCTTTAGCTTAATTTTTCTAAGGCCTATGTTAAAGTTCTTGGTGCAGACTTTCTATCAACCCCTCTTTAACCATTCTTTTCCCTTCAGCAATTTCCCTTCAGTAATTCTTTTCCCTTCCAAAAGCTTCCCACACCAAAAAGCCCAAAGCAAAAGCAAAAGAAGCAAGCCAAAGCCCCAAAAAACCTCATGTCCTCCTTCAGCAGTTATTTCATAAACAGTGGCAAACAGGGTGGAGCAGCAGCTCTCGGGGAGGGGCGTGACATTGTAACAGGAGAAACTGCTTCCTGCTTCTCTGAAGGTAAACTTAGGAGACACAGCTGTTCTGCTTTTTTCTGTTTCGTGGCCAGGGCTATGCCTATCTTAGCCTACAGATAAAGGCAATTAAGCTGCATCTCGCCTTGCTTATGTCCAGTTCTTGTAAGCTTTTCATAATCTGCTCTCCACAGAGAACTCTTCACCTTGTAAAGCTAAAATGCTATTTCATCTTAAGGGATCTTTAAAACATTTAAAATGGTATGGGTCAGAATAGCAGAAAACAAGCTACATTCAATTCAGAGTCCAGCAGAATATAATTTGGTCAGAACCTAGGTTTATTTCTTTTAAGCAATGGTTTTCTTCATAGAGTATATAAAGCAATATTGAAAATAGTTTTTTTTAACTAGTTGTGAGTATGAACTTCCTTTAAAGTCAAATATAACATCTTTTTCATGCTTACCTCCACAATATCTAGTTAAATAAAGCACTCAGTGAATGTTCACAGTACCCAAGTAAACCGTTTAAATACAAAGCTTTATAATCCAATTTCAGGTTCTTTTTTTTTTTTTTTTTCAGATTATTCTTATCCAATAAATTGATTCTCTAAGAACCACTGCCAGGAATAATCTTTTATCTTTTGTTAATGTCTGCCCTGCTTTTTAAAAGCTTTCTTTTAAAAGTGTGCTAGTAATTCAGGTTTCGAAATTCCCACGTAATAATCAGCTCACTTAAATGGTACATAAAGAGAAGCTTGCTACTTACCATATAGTTACCAAAAGCATGATCGAACATTTCCAGTACTTGATTCCTAATTTAGAAAAAAAAAGAAATGGAAAAAGTTAAGTATATTCTATTTATCATGTTTCAAAAACTTAATTCTTCCCCATAAAAATATACCAGTAAGAAAATTAAAAATTTATGGTCAAGCGCCTGTACAGACTTGCGCCTGTAATCCTCACAAGGGAGACAGAGATCAGAAGAATCACAGTTTGAAGGCAGCCCAGACCAAAAGTTTGCAAGACCCAATCTCAATCAATAAAAGCTAGGCATGTGTGTGCACCTGTCATCCCAGTTATACAGAAAGCACAAACAGGAGGATCATGGTTCAGGCCACTCCTTGCATAAAGAGACCCTATCTCAAAATAACCAAAGCAAAAAGGGCTGGGACCTGGCTTGAGTGGGAGAGTGCCTGCCTGGCAAGCACGAGGCCCTGTATTCAAAAACGAGTACTGTCAAAAAAAAAAAAAAAATGAGTTAGAAAGCGATAGAAACAGAATCAGGAAATACATCAGTTAGTAAGACAAGTTTTCATTAACTGACCACAAACAGCTGGGCCAAACTTTTACTATTGCTTCTAACTTATATAAAAACTCATCTATGGTTTTCCTAGAAAACTGCTAAATGATGCATGCCATGATGAGAGAGAAGGACATCTGATGCTGAAAAACAATTACTCCGCTTCTTAACATAATCATTCACTATATCTGACTTGAGAAGGAATTACCAGATAGCCCCCAGAAGAAACAAGTATTGGTATCACTTGTTACTTATCTTATATGTTTCACTAAAAGAGAGGGACAGGTGTGTGTTATCAATATAAAATCACACACACACACTGGCAATCCTAGGGTTTGAACTCAGAGCCTTGCACGTACTATGACTTGGGCCACATCTGCAACCTTTTTTGGTTTTAGTTATTTTTCGGATCGGGTCTCTCATTTTTACTTGCATTGACCTCGAACCATGATCCTCCTGATCCTCACAAGTAGCAGGGATTAAAATGTTAGCCATCTCACCCAGCCATGAAATGGTATTTTATCAAGCCTCTGTATTTCCCATTAAACTGAATAAAATCACTAATGCCTAGTTTGAGTATGTATACGTTAATATTTGTCACACTTTCAAAAGATGTCTTTTATAATGTATTCTGCTCCCTCAAAAAGCTGTCAAAAAGAGTATTCACCTCTAAAAAAAGGAATCTAAAGCCCCAAAAGAGATCTGTTCCAGCACTCAGGAGGCTGAGGCAGGACCATAAGCCAGAGGTCTATAAAGTAACACCTCGTCTCAAAAAGGAAGAGTTGGGCTTGACAGAGAGACAGACAGAGCATTATGTGTTTTAGCTAATCTGTTTCTCAAACCTCCAACACAGCTGTTTAAACTGGAGATTTCAGATGCAGAAATCTGCATAGCAGATTTGCTAAATCATAACCCATACAATTGGGAGTAATGAATTAGTCTTTCAATGAAACCCTCACTGGGCCTTAAGTACTACAGGAAAAGCTACAAAAGTTGATATCATGGCCAGACAAGGCCCTATGTCTCAGTAATTAGCAAAGGAAAATAGCTAACCGATCTTTTACTAACTCCTCTTTCCCCAGTTCCAACTGTAATAGTAACAACTGAAAAGCATATTAAAGAAAATTGCTGATTAAATTTTTATTTTGCTTCCTATTATACTGCAATTATCATTTTTGAAAATGTAGTCCTGGATGACGAAATGCTGGCAATAGTGAAGCTAGCAGATAGACAAGACCTAATTTCCAGACCCTTCCTGATGACCAGCAAAACCAAGTACACTCAGCTTGTGACCTGAATTAAGGTCTAACAAATTTTCTGAATAGTAAACAAACTACCTAACTATTAAAAAGATCTCACCATCACCTTGCTAAAACATTAATTCTTTATATATATGTATGATAGAATATGGATCAAGTGATCTCAGAAAATGAGATTCCTCTAGACATTTATTACATTGCAAATACTAAACATCTTGCAAGCTAGCAACATAAAACAAAACAAAACAAAAGGCAAAATTTGCAAAGGAGCCAGTGGCTCATGCTTGTAATCATAGCTACTCGGGAGGCAGAGATCAGGAGGATCGCAGTTTGAGGCCAGCCCAGGCAAACAGTTCACGAGACCCTATCTCAAAAAACCCTTCATAAAAATAGGGTTGGTGGAGTGGCTCAAGGTGAAGGCCCAGAGATCAAGCCCCAGTACCTCAAAAAAACCACACACACACACACACACAGAGGGATTAAGATTTGTGCTTTCATGTACTAATAAATGGCATACAAAAACTCTTCTTTTTCCTTCCCTGAAATGGGATTAATACAAGACTAATACCAAGAAGTAGAAATTCCTGTAATTGGTAACAGTAGTGCCCAGGCAAGTGTATTATAGGTGACAAAGCTTGAACTTGCTAACTCAACTTTGCAACCACTAAATTTCAAAACTACAGATAAATCAGGATTGCAGATAAGAAATACACACTATTTCCAATCCTGAATTAATACAGCATACAATCAGGAAATTTTACAACACATACTTCAGAGCAAAACTACTTAATACCCAGCTGCTCTCTGACATACCATGGAAGGCCTTACAAAGTTATATTTACATACAGAATAATATAATTACTATACTAAACAGGAAAAATACTTCTATCAGGTTTTATATCTATTCAATAACTGAATTAAAATGTACTAAAAAGCTAGGTATGGCAGTGCATGTCTATAATCCCAGCTCTGGAGCCTGGGCTAAATACCAAGATCATGGTTCAAAGCCAGCATGGGCAAATAGTTTGAGACCCTATCTCGAAAAACCCCACCAGAAAAAAGGGCTGGTGGAGTGGCTCGAGGTATAGGCCCTTAATTCAAACCCCAGCACCACCAAAAAATAAAAATTAAAAATTAAATTCTGGTCAAACATGATTTATCTAATGACTCTTGTCCAAATAAAAAATTTGACAAGACAGGCGCCAAGGCTCACGCCTATAATCCTAGCTACTTGGAAGTTTGAGATAAGGAGGATTACATTTCTAGGCCAACCTGGGCAAAAAAGTTTGTGAAATCCAATCTCAATAGTAAAAAGCTGGACTTGGTGGCACCTGTCATTCCAGAAATGGCGGGAAGAATAGGAAGATTGTGGTCCTCCTGGGCAAAAAGCGAGACCCTATCTCCAAAAAAAAACAGAGTAAAAAGAGCTGGAGGTATGGCTCAAGAGGTAGTCAGAATGCCTGCCTAGCAAGCGTGAAGCCCTGAGTTTGAATCTCAGTGCCATCAAAAAAAATTTTTTTTTTAGTGAAAAGGGAATGGTGAGTCAAAATTGCTGTCCTTAACAGACTAAATACATTTCTTTCAAGTCTTAAGGAGAGCAAAACAGTGTATGGACTATGGGGTCAGACAGACCTGGGTTTAAAAACTGGCTCCACCAACTCCTAGCTTTGCAACTCTGAACAAGTTAACTGTAAATTTAAATTACTTCATTTGCAAAACGAAGAAATAGGGAGGATTACAGAGATAACATATGGAATTTGCCCAGAATGGGATATTAGGTAAAACTGGTATCAATGATGCATAAATTAAATTCATAGGGAGAAAATTTAAGATACTTGTTAAAGTTTACTGGTAATTCTGACAGCTATTACTTCATACTTTTTTCCATTAGGCAACTTTTACCGCTATTTAAAAATTAATACAAGAGTCTTGCAATGATTCAAATAAAGAAACATATAAATTAAAACCTGGCGGTTCAAAGATATTTAAATTATCTTTCCACTTTTTTCCCAAGCTTAAACAATATTAAAAAAAAAAAAAAAGAAGAAGAAGAGAGATCTCCTGGGTGCCAGTGGCTCACGCCTGTAATCCTAGCTACTTGGGAGGCAGAGATCAGAAGGATCCCTGTTAGAAGCAGGCCCTGGCAAATAGTTCCAATGTCTAGTGGAGTGACTCAAGTGGTAGAATGCCTGCCTAGCAAGCATGAGGCCCTGAGTTCAAATCCCAGTACCACTAGAAAATAAGAAAAATTTTTACAAAGTATAGCACTATTTATAATATTTTCCTTCAACCTGATTCTGTTTTATCGTGTGACTATATGCTGGATAGACCTTTTCATGACGGAGCTCTTCCTTAATGTATAAATATTACTCCATGATACAGATGGCTCCATACTCAGCCATCCCCCCCCCCGTCCCTTCCCCCCCCCCGCCCCCCACCCCCCGACCAAGAAACAGTCCTGTTCTTTCAAAATACCCCCGTGTACACCTTTCTCTAACAGTGCTTGTATTTCTGTAAGGTAGATTTAAAGAAACAGGATGGATGGATCGGCGTATACACAATTTAAATTTTAGGAGATAGTGTGAATAAGTTACATTAATTTACCCTACTTCCAAATTGTTTGCTTTTCACACCTGAACTAGCTAGGACTGTCTCCCTGTCTTTTATATTTACCAATCTGACCGGCAAAACCCAGCTATCTCATTGTTTTAATCTGCACCTCTCACATTAATGAAGTTGAGTAACTTTTCACGTTTATTGCTCATTTGCACTTCCTCTCTTCGGACTTAACTGTTCATGCCTTTGCCCGCTTTCTATTGGTTCTCGGCTTCTTTTCTTATTCACTTGTGGACTCTCTCAAATTTGGTATGACTGAGTTAAATGCTGCTAATAGAACTGATAGTTTGACAACACTTTTTCAGACTGAGAAAACTACTCTTAGTAAAAATAAGTAGGTCCACTTAATTAGGGCTTTTGCATCATACCATCAAATAGTCTGTTCCATTAGGAAAACGCTGTGCGGGAAAACACTTGCAAGGAAATGGTAAGATGTGACAAGTTCAAGTTCCAATGGACGCCTCTTCCCCCTAACAGGTGTAAGCACCATTTCCTTAACTAACGTGAGACGGGAGACATTCTCCAGCTGGAAGCTCACTGTGTGAGAAAGGAAAAGCTACCCCCGGCTGGCCGGGTGGACAGGCAACCGAGGACGCGCGCGGCCACACGGGTGTACCCCCTCCCCGGCCACCGAGCCCGCACCTGTCGCCGACAGCCCCCGAAGTCACGGCGTGAGCAGCGGCCACCGATCTTCCCCGGACCCTGTCCTCCCCGCTAAGGTCCTCGCGTGGAAGCAGCTGTTCCGATCGCGACTCAAGGGGCCATGGCACGCCCGGGGATCGCAATGACAGGCACCTCTCGAGGGTCAGCCTCACCCACCCCGGTGCTGCCAAGCAAGACCCTTACCCAAGCTTCTGTTTCTCTTCTCTACTCATGGGCGCGGCCCCCGCCGTCCACACGGACGTGGCTGACACCAGGCAGAGCGCGGCCGTCGCCGCCACCAGGCTCCATGGCGCTCGCTGGGGAACCGGGGACCCACAGCCCCGGCCGCCCGCGGCTTCGCTCATGGCCCCGCGGTTCCGCGCACGCGCAGCTGCTACGCCCGGTCGGTGGGACACATCGCCGGACGCCGGCGGCGAGGGGGCAGCAAGCCGTGCCGAGGACGGGATGTGGAGTTAGACAGGCTGCCGCCGGCGCCAAACTGCAGAAGCCACCGAGCCGGTCCCCAGCGCCAGCGCTGCCACCGCCCTCCGCCCTCAACAGTCCGCAGCACCTCCCCCAGCTTTCCGGTGTCGTAGTCTAGGAAACCGCCTCCCAACGCTACTTCCGGGTAGTGCCGCAGTCGTTGAGCCTCAGGACCAATGGGAACCGTCCCGAAGAGAGGCTGGCCCTGGTCACAAGGGAAAACATTGGCCAGCTGAAGGGAGACGTGGACAAAAGGCGGGCCTGGGGACGGACTTCTCGATTCCACCCACCTTGGACCTGCGGGGTTACCGCCTGAAGACTACTACTCCCAGCGTGCACCGCGTCCTCCCTTTCCTTGGAGACTACTACTCCCAGCGTGCATCGCGCCTTCGCTCAACCCCGCTTGCGGTCTCCACGCAGAATCCCTGCCCTGGATGGCGCTCTGCACTCTGGGATCTGTGGTACTCTAAGGGCCCCTAGCAGTCCCTGGCGTTCCGCTTATGCCGGCGTCCCTGCAGCCAGCCCGCCTTGGTGAGATGACGAGTCCCCCGGTGCCCGTCAGCAGTTTTTCCCCTTCTTCCTGCAGGTGTTTCCCCGAGGGCTGACGGAGTGAGGCGCGCTGAGCCCAGGTCGGGGCCGCAGGCCATAGGGAATAGGGTTGGAGTAGGCCTGTGCCCTTGGGGAAATCGCAAAACACAAAAACAACCGAATGAACTGAGCCTTGGAGGACGTTGTGCTAATGGGTTTACTTTCATTATCTCGCACTCTTATAGGTAAGGACCACTATCCTCTCTTGCTCGCGTGGAAATCGAGGTTCAGAGAAGTTAACTGACTCTCATGCCTACTGGATTATCAGCCTCTGGTTGCCAAGCTTGCATTTAAGCGCTGTGCAGGGGCTGTGACATGATTGATAGTAGCTGTTTTAAAAAGCGCCGTGTAAAATTGGACTGGAGGAGTAGCTCAAGCAGTAAAGTGCCTGCTTTTAAAGTGTGAAGCCCTGAGTTCAAATCCAGTCCCACACACAGAAAAAAAAAAAAGCGCCGTGTAAGGACAGCGGTGTGGGATGAAAAAAAAAATTAGTGAAGGAGCTTGGACATAACCTCCGTGGGCACAGAAAAATTGCTTACTTGTCCCTTCAGCAGCATTCAGCTCTCTGGAAACTTTTTCTTCTTGACTTCTATCACTTTACCATTTAACCTCTGACTTCTGTGATTGGGATTACATCAGTAATCCCTCTTGCTTCACTTCTCTCTCTTCTTCCTTAGAATGCTGGTGTTTCCTCAGGCTTTTCTTTTTTTGTCCTTTTTCTCGTTGTACTCTAATTATTCCTCGGTGATTTCTTTAATGAATTCTTCCATCCGTATCTCTGTGGTTGATTTTTACATCAGTATCTGTCCTTGATACTTGACCCACATTTCCTAATAGAAATTTCCTTACATCTGGCAAGGGTAACACACCTGTAAAATGATTTAAATTAATGCATCAGAAATATCTTCAACTTACCCTCTTCCTTCAGAGTTGGTGTCCAACTCATTGCCAAATGAAGTAGATTCTACTCTGTCTTTCAGATCATAGCCTTTCTTTCCACCCCCCACTTCTGCTCAGTTGAAGACTTCATTGCCTCTTTCTGGAACCATTGCAATGACCTTCTAAGGGCCTCCCTGCCACCCCACTCTCTAGTACACTGCTGCAGAGGTGGCATTCAAGGGTATCTTTCCCTTCTGTCCTGCCATGCCTTCAAGAGCTATGTAATAACTAAATAAATTTTCATTATTTCTGGGTCTTTGCTCATATTCTTTCTTCTGTCACCCTGCCATCTTTGTCTGTTGAACACCCATAACCCTTTAAGGCTTGGCTCAGATTCCATCTCCATGAAACAAGGAAGTGGAACCTTCCAGTGAGCACAAGTCGCCTTCTCTCCCATTCCTGCACTGTAGTCTGTGTCTTTCTTATTGCATTTTTCATCGTATGTCATGTCGACTAGATTGTGAGCACTTGAAGGGTATTCACTAGCTTTTTCATGTTTATTCTAAAACTCAGTACTGTGCCTGCCCCGCTATCCATGCTCAATAAATGTGGGGTCTCCTTGTTTTGTTATTCCTTCAGTTTCCTCATCAATAAAGTGGAAATAGTATGATCCTTTTATGTACTTAAATTGATGCTGTAAAAACACACGAGGCCATTTCATGTTTAATTTGATTGTTTTTAAGAAACTTGCTTCCAACCTCAATCCTTTTTGGCAGTCTTAACGATGAAGTTAGCTAAATAAATAAATACCTGTGAGTCCGTCTTGGCTCTGGTGTAGAGAACATGCCAAGTTAAAGGTCAGCACGAATCATCTAGTATTTGAAAACTAAGAACAAATGTGCTAGGGGTACATTGTGGCATTTACAAACGTGCTTACAATATGTCTTAGTTACATTCACCCCCCTCCATCATTCTTCTTCATCCCTCCTACCACCCCTTTTAGAACAGTTTCAACAGATCTCATTTTTCCACTTTCATACATGAGTACATAGTATTTCCAACATATTCACCCCCCTACACCCTTTCCTTATGTCCTTCCCTCTCCCAGTGATGCCAACCCCCCCAGACAGGACCTGTTTTACCTTCCTGTCCTTCGTTGCTGAAAAAGAAAAGACATTTTTTGTGTTTAAGACATCTCTACAGAAAGTTTCATTATGTTATGTTATGTTAGTTATTTGGAGTGGATTATTTGTAATAACTCAGTTTTCTTTACCTTCCTGATGCTCCAAGCCTTCATAAGAAATCTAAATTGGCTATTAGAGATCATAAAGAAACAACACACTTAAGGAGAAGAGCTTAAGGCTTTTAATGTTTCACATTGTCTGTATTTTATTTGTTTTCAAGCTAACAGTGAGTTTTAAAAGGGTAGAATGAGGAGCCAGAAGACATTCTTTGTTGACATACTAAATAATAAGCATCTTTTTCTCCCTTACAAAAATTCAATTTCAAGCCAATGATAGAGTCCATTTTTCACTGAACTTTGTAAAACCTTAAGTCTGAAAGCTAGTGTGGCTTAAAACACATTGACACTTACCTAAAGTGGAGCCCATGGAAGTGAAAAAAAAACATATTCACAGTGTACATTTTCAAAGGAGAACCCCCTTTTAACCCTTTAATGGGAATCATGGAATTTTTAAGCTAATTCACAGCTTATAGACACCAAGAAACATTTACATGCATTATTTTAAAAACCTTTACTAATGGTAAAAAGAATATAGGCGTTAATTGAGAGAGTTGGTTTGTACAGGGGGAAAATACTGGTGAAAGCACTCAAGGAGAATAAAGAATAAGGACTTTTAAGGAATGTGGAACAGATTTTAGATGTGTGAAAGCCCATTGACATGATAAGAAATAAAGGCCATTTATAAAGTGCCCTTTAACCAGGGAAGAATTTGTTTGCACGGTCTTGTAGCTTATGTAAATATGTATGTTCACTTTCTTGCCTGGATATGTCAGAAGTTGGGAGGACTAGGAGCCCTGACTAGAACCATATGGATTCCCAAACATAAGGGAAAGGCTCTGCCTTAATTTTATGGCTCAGAAAGGGTCCTAGGAAGCTGAGCCAGCTGTGTGTTACTGGTCACAGACCATTCTAAAACTCCAGCATGGAATTTGGGAGTGGCAAGTCTGTCATTCTTCAAATCATTTTTCCCATTAGTGGATAGTATGTGGAATTTATAGAACACTTTTGTTCTTAAGAACTCAACCTTACAAACATTAAATCAAGACAGTACTTATCTCACATTTACAACTAGGGAATTCGAGGCCATATGAGGAGTACTTCATTTTTAAAAAAACCACTCAGTGACTATTGTGGACTGACTCCCTGCATGGCTTGCTGACTGACTAATCTAAATTCCAAGAAATCGAATAAAGGATTGAGATGATTCACTACCCCTAGAGATGTCCCCAGGGCTTTTTCCACTGCCTTGAGATCTTCACAACACTTCAGCTTCAGATTATTATCACATATGATACCAGCACCAGCTCTCTCAAGCAGAGATTTTGCTCTTGCATTATGTTAAGCTTGCTCCTGTGGTTGGGTCCCTCACTGAGTAACCATTCTTCATCCACTTCACGTATGAGAAGCAAAGCCCCTTCTTCATGGCTCTTCCTTTGGTCCTTTTCTGAAATCCCACATAGTTCCTACTTACGGGTTCAGTGTGATCATAAGATTTGAAGTCAGCACCATCCCACAGTATCTCACTCAGGTATACTAGGGGCCAAGAATGATGGTCCTGAGCCAGCTCTGCAATCTTTTACGTGTGCTCACTTAAACTAATTATTATTAAATTTCTTTGTGCCTTAGTCTCCTCATTTGTAAATGAGGCCTATCTCATACGATTTTTAGGTGGATTTAAATGATTTAATTGTTAGTTATACCTTCCTTCTCAGGGTGTTTTGAAGATAATGAGATAATGCGTACAAAATATCTAGAAAATTTTGAAAGAGCTGAATAAATAGTTGTTACTAATATATCATTATGCAATAGAAAGGAAAAGTTGCTGTGGTTAGAATAGGAGTCAAGAGTGGATATGGAGTCCTGTAGTTCTGGTGCTTTTTGTTTGTTTGTGTTTTTGTTTTTGGCAGCACTGGGTTTGACCTCAGGGTCTCACACCCTTCTAGGCAAGCACTCTACTACTTGAGTTACTCCACCAGTTCTTTTTTATGATTGGTTTTTTGAGATAGGGTCTCATGAACTATTTGCCAGTGCTGGCTTTGAACATGATCCTTCTGATCTCTGCCTCCTGAGTAGCTAGGATTACAGATGAGCCACCAGCATCAGCTCCATAGCCCTGATTCTAACCCTGCCTATAATCTTGTTCACTTCCTTAGTTTGCTGACTTCATGTTGCCATTACAGGCTCCCAGTCCAAAACCCAAGCTCTCTTAGACCTACATGCAACTCAAGAAACCACTGAATTCCTGTAGGATTTCTACCATGGAGTCTTTATATGAGCCTCATCATGCATCATGCAAACACAAGGTACTTTTCTCCCTCTTAAAATTAAAGGTGGTCTCATCAGTAAATCATTTGAAGTTGTAGAAATTATGGAATAAAGTTGCCAGAAAATTCTGTGAGTTTTTTGTTTGCATGACTTTCT